TCAATTGTGCGAAGCACAGTGATTATGTAACCAGGGATACTTAGTTAGCAAGGCGATTACATGGTCATTGTGCAAAGCACATGCTAACCAAGCAAAAACCGAAGCTTCCTTACGTCACTCTAAACGCGAGAGGCTACTATACCTAACTATCTGGTGGTAGCCAACCGAAGCTGACATGGAATCAACCTTCTTCACCCATAAGTCCTTAAGTTCTCTCCTATTGTTTTTCTTCCCGAAAGAGAAGGAGTAGGGAGAGAAATTACGGGGAGATACCTTCGTCGTACCGGAGAAATTACGGGGAGATACCTTGTCTTATATTTATGTTTGATATGTACTGGTGTTCATAGTTTGGTTGTTCAATATCGCATTGTTGACGGATATGTAATTTGAAATAGTATGTTTGTCTTTTTAAGAAAAACAAAAAATGAAACAAATAAATAATTGATTGGTCCCGGGTTGACCCTGGAGCAGAACCGTACCCATAGGGTCGGTTCGATCCTCGGTCACAGGTTCAACATGGTCAGTTCTCGATCTCAAAAATTGGAGACCAACATTGTGCGGGTTGGTCCTTAAGTTAGGTATTGGACCGACCTAACCTGGACCATCTCTCCCCTAACTTAAAGTCAACAAATTCTAAGTGGCTCAATTGTGCGAAGCACGGTGATTATGTAACCAGGGATACTTGGTTAGCAAGGCGATTACATGGTCATTGTGCAAAGCACATGCTAACCAAGCAAAAACCGAAGCTTCCTTACGTCACTCTAAACGCGAGAGGCTACTATACCTAACTATCTGGTGGTAGCCAACCGAAGCTGACATGGAATCAACCTTCTTCACCCATAAGTCCTTAAGTTCTCTCCTATTGTTTTTCTTCCCGAAAGAGAAGGAGTAGGGAGAGAAATTACGGGGAGATACCTTCGTCGTACCGGAGAAATTACGGGGAGATACCTTGTCTTATATTTATGTTTGATATGTACTGGTGTTCATAGTTTGGTTGTTCAATATCGCATTGTTGACGGATATGTAATTTGAAATAGTATGTTTGTCTTTTTAAGAAAAACAAAAAATGAAACAAATAAATAATTGATTGGTCCCGGGTTGACCCTGGAGCAGAACCGTACCCATAGGGTCGGTTCGATCCTCGGTCACAGGTTCAACATGGTCAGTTCTCGATCTCAAAAATTGGAGACCAACATTGTGCGGGTTGGTCCTTGAGTTAGGTATTGGACCGACCTAACCTGGACCATCTCTCCCCTAACTTAAAGTCAACAAATTCTAAGTGGCTCAATTGTGCGAAGCACGGTGATTATGTAACCAGGGATACTTGGTTAGCAAGGCGATTACATGGTCATTGTGCAAAGCACATGCTAACCAAGCAAAAACCGAAGCTTCCTTACGTCACTCTAAACGCGAGAGGCTACTATACCTAACTATCTGGTGGTCGCCAGCCGAAGCTGACATGGAATCAACCTTCTTCACCCATAAGTCCTTAAGTTCTCTCCTATTATTTTTCTTCCCGAAAGAGAAGGAGTAGGGAGAGAAATTACGGGGAGATCCCTTCGTCGTACCGGAGAAATCCTTCCCCCCGTTTCCCTTAATCCTTTTAAAGACCTGTTAAGATTCAAGTCGACAAATTTTTAGTCGACCCAATATTTTTTAACCTAACAAAATCTCCCGGAAAAAAAACAGGGAAAGAAAAAGGAGTTGCAAACCCCCCACGACAAGCACTTTCGAGTCCAAAAGTGGGGGTTTGCTTTTTATTTATGTCTTTTCTGGGGTTTCGTGCCGTAAAAAAAAATGGTAGGAAAAAAATATAAATCACTTTCCATTTCCAAGCATGCATAAAAATAATTTTAAATAAATAATAAATATACTCTCTCTCTCTCTCTCTCTCTCTCTAAAAGCAAAACTGAAAAACTCTTTCACTTCCTGAGCAGCTCTCCATCGCCAACAATGGCAACGGTCACACTCCATCACTGAGCGAGAAGCGCTTCTCGCAGACCACCCCACCAACCCCCCCACCATGAACTTGCGCCAGCGGCTCCAGCCCACGCGCACGCGCGGGCGCGTGCCCATGGACGCGCCGCCGCCGCCGCCCCCGCCGGACGACGTCTACAACATCATCCCCATCCACGGCCTCCTCACCGACCACCCCTCCCTCCGCTCCCCGGAGGTGCGCGCCGCCGCCGCCGCGCTCCGCTTCGTCGACGACCTCCGCCGGCCGCCCTACTCCGACTGGTCCCCCGGCGCGGGCGCCGACCTCCTCGACTGGCTCGCCGCCTTCTTCGGCTTCCAGGCCGACAGCGTCCGCAACCAGCGGGAGCACCTCGTCCTCCACCTCGCCAACGCCCAAATGCGCCTCAACCCCCCGCCGCCGAACGCCGACGCCCTCGACCCGGACGTCCTCCGCTCCTTCCGCCGCAAGCTCCTCCGCAACTACACCCTCTGGTGCTCCTACCTCCACAAGCGCCACAGCCTCTGGCTCTCCTCCCGCAACGACGTCCCGAGCGTCCGCCGCGAATTGCTGTACGTATCTCTGTATCTGCTCATCTGGGGCGAGTCCGCGAACTTGCGGTTCATGCCCGAGTGCATTTGCTACGTGTTTCACCATATGGCCATGGAATTGAACCACGTTCTCGAGGATTACATTGACAAGAACACGGGCAGGCCGTTCTTGCCCTCGTTGTGCGGGCAAAATGCGTTCTTGAAGTCCGTCGTGATACCCATTTATCAGACCGTTAAGACCGAGGTTGAGGACAGTAGGAACGGGAGCGCCCCGCATTCCGCTTGGCGGAACTACGATGATTTGAATGAGTACTTTTGGAGCAGGAGATGTTTCCAGACGCTGAAATGGCCGATCGATTTGAGTTGCAAGTACTTTGCAACTACAGTCAAGAGTGAGAGGGTGGGAAAGACAGGGTTTGTGGAGCAGAGGTCGTTTTGGAACGTCTTCCGTAGCTTCGATAGGCTCTGGGTTTTGTTGATTCTCTTGCTGCAGGCGATGATAATCATCGCTTGGGAGGGGACGGAGTACCCTTGGCAGGCATTGGAGAGGAGGGATGTGCAGGTGAAGCTATTGACGGTGTTCATCACCTGGAGTGGACTTAGGTTGCTGCAATCCGTGCTCGATGCGGGGACGCAGTATAGTTTGGTTTCGAGAGAGACGTTCTTTCTTGGGTTGAGGATGGTGTTGAAGAGTCTTGTTGCTGTGACTTGGATAGTCGTGTTTTCGGTGTTCTATGCGAGAATATGGAGTCAGAAGAATACTGATGGCAATTGGTCCCAAGAGGCTGATCGGAGGATCGTTGTATTTCTCAAGACTGCATTAGTGTATATAATTCCGGAGTTGCTGGCCTTGGCGCTTTTCATTCTTCCTTGGATCCGGATCGTGATTGAAGAGTTGGATTGGAGCATATTGTATGTTTTTACATGGTGGTTCCACACTCGAATTTTTGTGGGTCGCGGCGTGAGAGAAGGGCTTGTGAATAACATAAAGTATGCGCTCTTTTGGGTTGTGGTGTTGGTTAGCAAAATTTCGTTCAGTTATTTCCTGCAAATCAAACCTTTAGTTGCTCCAACAAAGTCTCTTTTGGATCTTCGCGATATACAGTACAAGTGGCACGAGTTCTTCGGTAAAACTAATAGGATGGCTGTAATACTGTTGTGGACTCCTGTTATCTTGATATACCTTATGGACTTGCAAATTTGGTACTCTATCTTCTCTTCTCTTGTTGGCGCGACGATTGGGCTGTTTTCACATTTGGGCGAAATACGGAATATCGAGCAGCTGCGGCTTAGGTTTCAGTTTTTCGCTAGTGCAATACAGTTTAATCTAATGCCAGACGAGCAGGTGCTAAGTCCTCAGGCGACGATGGTCAAGAAGCTACGTGATGCGATCCACCGGCTGAAACTGCGTTATGGTCTTGGTCAGCCCTACAAAAAGATAGAATCCAGTCAAGTGGAAGCGACGAGGTTTGCATTGATTTGGAATGAAATCATTATAACTCTCAGGGAAGAAGATCTCATTAGCGACAGAGAATTTGAGCTTTTGGAGCTACCACCCAACTGTTGGGACATTAGGGTAATCCGCTGGCCCTGTGCCCTCCTCTGCAATGAGCTGCTTCTTGCCCTGAGTCAGGCAATTGAGTTGGCGGAAAGTTCCGACCGGTATCTTTGGTTGAAGATTTGCGTCAATGAGTATAGGCGATGTGCTGTTATCGAAGCATATGATAGCATCAAGTACTTGATTATCACAATTATCAGAGACGGTACCGAAGAGAAATCTATTGTCACGAAGTTGTTCGATTGTATCGATGAACACATTCAGAACGAGAAGCTCACGGAAGTTTATAATTTGACACTTCTTACGGATATTCATGCAAAGTTAAGCTTACTCCTTCAGCTTCTGGTGAGCGAAACAAAAGATATGAGCAAGATGGTGAATGTACTGCAGGCTCTCTACGAACTTTCCGTCCGCGAATTCCCAAAGGTGAAGAAGTCGATCAATGCTTTGAAGCTGGAGGGTCTGGCAGCCCTTGGCCAAGCCACTGATGCAGGATTCCTCTTTGAAAATTCTGTCGAGCTTCCTGGTGATGAGGATCCCTTTTTCTACGGACATCTGCGCCGGGTACATACAATTCTTACATCCAGAGACTCAATGCACAATGTCCCAGTGAATCTTGAGGCTAGGCGTCGCATTGCTTTCTTTAGCAATTCGCTCTTCATGAACATGCCTCTTGCCCCTAAGGTGGAAAAGATGATGGCTTTCACCGTATTGACTCCCTATTACGACGAAGATGTTTTGTACGCAAATGGCGGCCTTCAAAAAGAGAATGAGGATGGAATTTCAACTCTGTTTTATCTGCAGAAGGTCTACGAGGATGAGTGGGCGAACTTCTTGGAAAGGATGCGCAGAGGAGGCTTGGAGAATGTTGACGATATTTTGAAATCTGAGGCACTGCGTCTCTGGGCATCTTACAGGGGTCAGACATTGTCCCGCACCGTGAGAGGGATGATGTACTACTATAGGGCTCTTAAGATGCTTTCGTTTCTAGACTCCGCTTCAGAGATGGACATAAGGATGGGAACACAAAGCATCGCTTCTCATCATTCACTCAGGTCCAATGGCAGCTTGAATGGTCCTCCTTCCATCCACATGCAGGCTTCACGGTCGCTTGATAGAGCACCTAGTGGCGTGAGTCTTCTGTTCAAGGGGAGTGAGAATGCATGCGCCCTGATGAAGTTCACGTATGTGATCACCTGTCAGGTCTATGGCCTTCAGAAGGCAAATAAAGATCAGCGTGCCAATGATATTTTGTATCTTATGAAGCAAAATGAGGCTCTTCGAGTTGCGTACGTTGACGAGGTTCACTTGGGGAGGGATGAAGTAGAATTTTACTCAGTTCTGGTGAAGTACGACCAGCAACTGCAGAGGGAGGTCGAGATATACCGGATCCAGTTGCCAGGCCCTGTGAAGCTCGGGGAAGGGAAGCCAGAGAATCAGAACCATGCAATAATCTTCACTCGGGGGGATGCGCTCCAAACCATCGACATGAACCAAGACAATTACTTTGAGGAGGCACTCAAAATGCGTAATCTGTTGGAAGAATTTAAGAAATTTTACGGGATCAGGAGGCCGACGATTTTAGGAGTACGCGAAAATGTTTTCACTGGCTCCGTGTCGTCTCTTGCCTGGTTTATGTCTGCCCAGGAAACGAGTTTCGTGACTTTGGGGCAGCGTGTTCTGGCGAACCCTTTGAAGGTACGTATGCATTATGGTCACCCAGATGTTTTTGATAGGTTTTGGTTCTTAACCCGTGGAGGGATAAGCAAGGCTTCCAAGGTGATCAACATCAGTGAGGATATATTTGCCGGCTTCAACTGTACATTGAGAGGAGGGAATGTAACACACCACGAATATATTCAAGTGGGTAAGGGAAGGGATGTTGGGTTGAATCAGATAGCTATGTTTGAGGCCAAGGTCGCTAGCGGCAATGGTGAGCAGGTTCTGAGCAGAGACATATATAGGCTGGGTCACCGCTTAGACTTTTTCCGGATGCTGTCTGTCTTCTTCACAACTATCGGGTTCTACTTCAACTTATTGATAGTGGTTCTTACCGTTTACACATTTTTGTGGGGCCGCTTTTATCTAGCTCTTAGTGGCATCGAAGGGAGAGCTATGAATGATAGTGCCAGCAATAAAGCTCTCGCGGCTATTCTCAACCAGCAGTTTGCCGTCCAGCTTGGCCTCTTCACTGCTCTTCCAATGATTGTAGAGAACTCTCTCGAGCATGGATTCCTCCAAGCAGTTTGGGACTTCATTACGATGCAGTTGCAGCTTGCATCATTCTTCTACACATTCTCTTTGGGGACTCACACGCACTATTTTGGCCGGACTATTCTTCACGGGGGTGCAAGATACAGAGCCACTGGCCGTGGTTTTGTGGTGGGGCACAAAAGCTTCGCTGAGAACTATCGACTGTATGCCCGCAGTCACTTTGTGAAGGGCATCGAGCTCGGGGTTATTCTGGTAGTGTATGCCTCACAAAGCCCCATGGCCAAGGACACATTCGTTTACATAGCCTTGACCATCTCCAGCTGGTTTCTAGTCGTCTCGTGGATAATGTCACCGTTTATATTTAACCCTTCAGGCTTTGATTGGCTGAAGACCGTGTATGATTACGATGATTTTATGAAGTGGATATGGAATGGTGGAGGTATGTTTACAAAGGTGGATCAGAGCTGGGAGACCTGGTGGTACGAGGAACAAGACTATTTGAGGACGACAGGACTTTGGGGCAAGCTTTTGGAGATCATTCTAGACCTTCGTTTCTTCCTTTTTCAGTATGGTGTTGTATATCAGTTGAAAATAACCCAGGGTAAAACTAGCATTGCTGTATACTTGCTATCATGGATATACATGGTTGTGGCCGTTGCTATTCATGTGATCATGGCATATGCTCGAGATAAATATGCTGCTAAGAAACACAAATACTATCGTCTCATACAGCTTCTTGTCATTGTGGTCGTGCTTCTTGCGATCTTCATATTGCTGGAGGTCACTCATTCTGAATTCCTAGACCTTGTGAAGAGCCTCCTTGCATTTGTCCCCACAGGATGGGGCCTAATATCCATTGCCCTTGTACTTAGACCATTTTTGGAGTCCACTGTGGTGTGGGACACCGTGGTTTCGTTGGCCCGGCTGTACGATATGCTGTTTGGAATTATCGTGATGGCTCCTGTGGCTTTGCTCTCATGGTTGCCGGGATTCCAGGAAATGCAGATAAGAATCTTGTTTAATGAAGCATTTAGCCGGGGCCTCCAAATATCCCGTATTCTCACAGGCAAGAAGTCCAGCTGATCCAAGTTGAGGTAATTCCATACCTTCAAGTGGTTCTTGAACTTTTACATTTCTAGTTTTGTCTAATGACATGTCTGTCACGTGTGAGTTCTTGCCCCTTTTTTTGGTTAAAAATTTGTTTTTTTTCGTCTGAGGTTAGTAATTGTCCTCGATTATTTAAGAAGCTAAACTAAGCCATTACATTAGGTGAATAAGCAATGTTGATATAGTTGCACTTGTGTTCCTCTTTCTAGTTGTCTCCACAAACCTTTTCCTGCCATTGTGTATTTTCCTTTTCAGGGGTAGAATAACCAGCTCGGCATGACTCTTCCTTTGAATTACTATGCATTGGCAAGTTGAAGATTCTTGTATCTCAATTTGCCGAAGCAGCTATCATGGGGCCTAAGCCTATTCCAAATAGAAATTATGCAATGAAGCGTATTTTAGATTAGCTTGTACATCAGGCTGTAGGATCTTTTGATCCAGAGCTTGATCTGTCTTATTCATTTTGTTTATGATAGCTGTTTAACTGCGTGAGTTCATAATAGCAGGGGAGGGACTTAAGAGGAGGTTACAGGAAGCAAGGAGAGAAAAGTGAACTAGACAGGAGATTGAGAATGAGCTCGCAAATTGACATGTTCAACCAATTCTGCCGTGGATAGGTGGTGGTAGTAATATAGCTAATGGATGAAGATAAAATCAAGTATGGAACAAGTGAAATCAAGCCCTATAAAGGCGAGTAGTATTTAACTAGATTCGAAGTTTACTCCTGCTATGATTTTCAAATTTATATGACTGATCCCACGTCGAACTTAGCTTGGCAGGCTGCAGAAATAGCCTCTTATCAGCTGAAGATGTCGTGCTCGTATGTGGTAGTAGTGTTTGTTTTAACCCGCTCTCGATTCTCCCTCTATTCCTTTGGTGATGTCTTGTACTTCTTAGCAGAGCACCATTTTGAAGCCACTAGTTAAGCTTTGCCATGCGAATTCAAACTCTTGCAATTGACTGCATAATACAATTTTTTATCTGTGCTTGTTTTCTCATTGTCTTTTATTGGCATTTCACATGATTGGCCAGGTTGAATTTATTTCAGGTTCTGTGGAGAGTAAGGGAGCTGGTTGTATAATTGACCTAGGCAATAATACACTTGTTTTAATGCGAGTCCATTTGATGTTGGATGTTAATGTCGCTATTGCCAGGAGGAAATCCTGAAGTTTCTGTCGAAGTTTCCTTCAGCAGCATAGTCTTGCAGCAAATGTGGATTTGCAGGGGGCCGATATTCATCTGGCCCCGAGTTTTGTCTGTAATTGTTGTAGTTTTAGCAGTTGATAGATAGATTAGTGTTCAGCTCATGACCACATGTATTCCTCGAGCATGTATTTGTAAATATTGTCCGCGACTCTGCTGTAGATTTCAAGCTATTATATTGAAGAAAAGGCAGTTGAGAGGCATTTTCGGCATTTATATGGTTCACTGACATTTTTATGCTCATTCTATCCTCTTAAAAGGTACCGAGTGCATTCAACTACAAGATAAGAAAGCAGTGAAATTCAGTCGCTGTAAATCTTTCATGAGCACTATAGTACCGCAGAACCTGAAGAATAAAACTAAGTCTTCTCAAAAGACACAAGTAGATGTTTTCTAATGCGGTAAACTGTAATGAAACTGAACGCCCGCAATGGCAAGCACTTAAAAAACCAAACTGCGGGAGGGAGATATTTTCAGCATGTAATTCAACCATGCAGCACCCATATGAATATTATTACAGGTAGCATAACACAAGGCAACAGGCAGGACATGACAGTCCTTGATGCAATTGTTATTGTCAAGCTTTTACACCAAGCCATTACATAATGATACAGCAGAATACAGCAAGCATCCACAACCGACTATTTGTTTTGGGTCAAATACAAACTATCACCTGCATCACTTGAGGCGTTTTATTCTTGATCAAGCGCGCACACAGCAACACCTATATACAAATTGCCAATTAGGCCAACAAAGTACAAACTCCACACCTTATTTATAACATATGAGTGCTTAAACCCTAGGGATTCTGTGTTTCATGATGACGATGCCATAGAGATTCAGTATTCATGCACCGAGAAACCGGCTGCAGTCAATCCCCTTTTCCGAGAATGCATCGACGAGCTTAGTGAATAGCTTGGCGAGCATGATCTTGAACCCGGTGGAGCTTCCCTTTTGAGTTTCTTGTGCTTTTTCTCCACCTCCGAAAGCAAATCCTACTGGAGCGCCTTTCATATATTCCTTGCAAGCGTAGAGAATATTGTCACTGCGGTTGCTGAAGTGCTCTTCCACAAGTGCCTCGAAATGCTGCATAATACCGTAATTCAATCAGCCTCAGTCTAAAGAATTTGACACTTTTCTACTTTTGATATTGGCAACATTTTAAGACCCATAACCATTGTTAGCCATTCTAATAGCCAATGTACATGAGAGGGGATCATGGTGAATTGGATCGGACACTCTGAAATTACTTTACCTTGGGTGGCTTGCGAAGAAGATACAGCATGGACTTGCACGTCATGAGGAATGCATTTTCATTGTAACTAACGGAGTTTCGTTCCCCCTCGGTCTTTCCAAGCTGCTTATCATACCCTGCTTCGTTGAAGTAGGGCTTGTCATTAAGCACAAGGGCCTGGAGAGACACAAGAACCTGAAGAACAGTGGAACTTCCGGGGTTCCAAACTTCGGAGCCCGAGCCCGTCCAAGTATTCAAAAGGCTGAGACAGACTTTTCCGGATTCGTACAGGTTAGGGTTCACACGAAGCCCTCCCGAGTGGTAGTGTACCATCTGCATCACATTTTTTTTGTTAATTTTTCTTTGTGGGACGAGAATTTGTTGCTCAAAATTGGCACTTATATACTTAAGCATAAGTAAAGTGGTTAGCAATGAAAACCATGATTCATCATTACCGGTGGCTCGTTTGGAAATTCTGGGGGGAGGAAAATGTCGAAGAAGAAAAGTCCGTCATGATAGGGAGTTCCTGGAGGACCAACAATAGCTGCTCGTAGGAGATCGATCCTTTCTTCATAGATGCGGACGTAGATTGTCTCTGTCGAGGTACAACAAGGGTTCATGAGAATACAGGACTGGCATTACAGCACAGCAAATCGCACATGTTCCATTTCATTAGCAGCTTTGATATTGCATCAGTGAGATTATGTTACTAGGTTGCTTGGACGGTCCAATCCTATAGTACTTGAATAATCCATTAGTATGCTAGTCAAATGGAAGATTAAGTGCCGAACCGAGCAGTCACATTTCAAAGACTAGCGAACAGAGAAAAATTATATCAAAGAGAAGGACTATAGATATTATAGGCAGTTTATGCTAACCAGGAAGATTTTTCTCCAAGATGCTCCACTCTTGCTGAACCTTCTTCAACCAACCTTTTTTAACCTACATAAAAGGGGAAAAAATCATTACTCATCCTGTCTTCTTGCTACACAACAACCAATTGCCAGGTTTCTTTGGAGTTATTCATTTTTTTTGTTGGACATTCTTTCTAACCTGAGACGAAGCCACTCCTTTGTCAGCACCATCAAGAAAGTGGTGATCGGAGCAATCCGTGACCATATCGAACTGCTTGAATTGTTCCACATCCTTGCTCTTGGACAAACTTAAAAGGCCCCTCTCTTCTTGATCATCCTTTACTTCGACTTTTAAGCTCATCCATTCGGATGCTGGCAGCTCATTCTCTGCACATGATTGAATCTCTGAACCAGTATCACAGCAATTCTCTACTACCGCATTTTCAAAAGAAGCTTGACATCCATTTCCGTCTTCAGAAATTAGAGCAAATTGAACAGAGCCTGACTCTGACGCCGAGCCAAAGGATCCGAATAGGGTTGCTGCAACACTGGTTAAAAATCGCTTAGCATTCTGTGGGAGTGAAAAGGAGGTGCTTCCAGAAGAGGGCTTTGGGCATTCTTCATCAGTTGTACAAGGAAACAGCAAATCCTGCACAACAGACATAAGCAGCATGTGCTCAGAGAGTTGCAGCAGAAGCAAGCGATTTCTGAATGTGTCAGCAATCTACTAAGATTCTAAGTTGGAAACAGTTATCTTGCTCTAGTGCTCTGTCAAATGGATAAATCTGTTGAGGCCAAAAGGGGTTAATAACTTTGGAATCCTAAATGCACATCTCTCACTTTAACATGCCAATCACATCCTCATCAACACACCACCGTCAGCCCACTTTGGAAGGGAGAGACCATGTGATCTTAGGCTCGGTTATACAAATTACTAATCCTACCATTAGTATATATCTTCTCATAATGCATCTGAAAAATGATTAACATTGAGAATGCAGACATGCATGCATTTTTTTTTTGTTTTGGGGGGGAGAGACTTTACCTTCCCTTTCTCGATTGGTAGTATCTCATTTTCAACCACCTGCTGATTAATTTGCTCAATGTTTCCATCAAATGGCAATGGAGATGGAGTTGAGCCATCATACTTATCACATCGAATAATCTCATAGGGTGCAACCTGAAATAATAGCAGAGGATATTCACGACCCATTCCCGTTTACTTTGCACAAGAATGTATGAAAGAGATCGGTAAATAAAGGTAATAAGATGATAAGGACGAGAACCCAACACGGAACTTCATTTATTCTCGAAGATGGAAATTAACGAAGCAAACACTTGACCGACTAGAAACCAAAAAATATCGGCAGAATTGCTTTATGTTCTTTCAGGACCAAAAACCCCACTGTACCGTGTACACCACTAAACACACAATCTCCTATAAGATAACACAGGTTGTGGACTATATTTAGTAGTGTTCTAAACCAATTAATATTCAAAATAGCAAACCATCAGATGACCGGACTGTATACCTTTGTTGTTAGACCATTTGCCCATTTCACCGCGACAGCACCATCTTTGAAGCCTGAAACGTTGCCAATACAGGACAAGTAAAAATTATTTGGGTCGCCCTTGTGATCTCTCCCAAACTTTTCGCTTTTGAGGACAGCCTCCTCAGCCTTTGTAGCTTCTGTCTCCACAGGATCCTTTGTAGCTTGGACAACTGACTGATTTTGAACCACTCTAAACACAACATCACCAAGGCAGTAGGAGTAATCTGGGTGCTCGAGTAGCTCATAAGCACTCATGGTTTCCTCAAGATGTTCTCCACCAATATCATCAGGTGTCTCCATCGAAGCGTTTTTCCATATTATCCTTACGGTCTTTTCCTTAGCATCCATGCCTCGGACAACACCCCATTTCCGACTAATCGGAGCATGTGGATCATCACAGCTGTTTGTTTCTTGAACAAACTGGTCAGGCCAAAACTCATGAGAGTCAATAATATTTATGGGAAGCAAAGACTGTGAATCTACTCCGAGTGAACAGCTACCGTCCTGCCAAAAAACATCGACCTTTGTTTTTGTCCTTGCGATAATAAACACTGGTGCAGAACTTATACTAGTGCCCCGTCTCTGAAAGCCTTTGTCCAATTTTCCAGAACCGTTGAGATGATTCTTATAGTCTGTGCCCGGAAGTATACACCAATCACCAAGCTGCCAATTTGCATGCGGAAAGCAGCTCAACGGGGTAAGGTCTTTTGCCTCGTGCAACTTTGAGGGTTGAGGCAAACGGAAATCACCATCCATGAGAACAGACCCGAGCCAGTCCACATTCACAAAACCAGCTTTTACAGCGCACACTGTTCCTTCTTCTTGGTTCGCCTTCCAACTTCCACATAGCCATCTTGCAGATTGAGAAGCACTTGGAGCCATAACCTTCACCCTCTGTCCAGGATAATATGAATATTGCGAGTCATCAACAATGTTTGGAGAAATAGGAATGAGTTTTTCTTGATTGACTCCGGTGAAATCACACTTTGTCCCGTCATCGAACAGTATGGTGACAGAATCAATTACTTTATCCACTCTTCCAAGCCAGTGCCCATAAACAACGTGATCACCCACTGATATCGATCGAACTTTGATCAGTTTCTTGGAGTTTATGTCTCTGATGACTTTCCCGTGAGTGCTCTCCAAGTCAACGAACATATCTACATTTATGACTTTGCCCAATTGGCCAGATGGGTCTTGTACAGAGCACACTATGTCACCATGTACAAATCCTCTTTCAAAAGAAAGGAAGTCATCGATTTTGCCGATGCTCTCCTCCAGGTTAGACAAGAGGTTCACAGCCTGACCTCCGAACAGTAAGTCCATCTCCTCACTGCTTTCACTAAAACTATCCCAATCAGATTCGCTGAAGAGAGAATCCATTTCTCCAAATACCTACAGAAGCATATAACTTGTCATCATCACTGACATCAAACATGGAATTCCAGCTAAAGTTAACAATGGCAAAACAATATTAAAAAACTCAAGAACATTATTCAAAGAAGCCAGATCTTTCAACACAGCGGTCCAAACATGATCAAGGATTGTGTGCTTTAAGTTCCTCAGGTAATTTTTTCTTTAGAAGAGCCAACATATCAATAATAATGACATGTTCTGAATACAGCAAACTGTAAAGTCAGGGAACGATCTTTTATCACAGTCCTAACTATAGCACATATCATCATAGACAGAAGAATGCATGCCATCAGTGAAATAATAATGAAGGATGGATACTGAAAAATACCTCCAAATTTGCACTAGCTTGAGAAATTTTAGAACAACTTGTGCTCAATCTTCACGTACGAGTGAGTTCCTGATGCTTTTCTGTGATGCACTATGTATGTCCCAGAGTCAACCCAATCGATACACTTGTAATATAATATAGTTATACCTTTTCGGTTCAGATAACAAGTCAATATCTCTAAGAGAACGTGACTGTTAAATCTGGAGAACCGATGCCAAAGGAGATTTGCCCCCGGTTACAGGGATAAACGGAGCCAACTAAGGACTCCGAAATGCCAAAGGAGATTTGCCCAGAAAAATGGACTTGAAGCCGAAGTTTCCAGCAGCAGAAACTTTCGAGATAGGTTACCAGTCACAGAAGTCTAACAAGCGATGACTTCTGGTTCAGAAACTTGCACAGGTCTGAGTGAAGCTCTGGAAGATTGCTAGGATGGAGTTGCGGATAAAGTGGGCATGTGCAACACTTCCTCGGATATTTCATCAAATTAAGTCTCCTCAAAGTTCTTCCGCGATGCTGAAGTTACGCTGAGCAGATGAAAGTTTGAAGTGTCCATCAAAGCCTGAATGGTTTCAGTCAGAAACCTGAATATGTTGCCAAAGGAGATTTGCCCCACTATAACTAGATATTAGGAAAGCTGTTGCCAGTCTAAATCTATATCGGTGATTCCAAGCCTCCAGAAAGAAATCAACAGTCAGGCCTTAGCTCTCCATGAACCCTGTAACACAAAAAAACCCAAGTAAATTCCGATTCAGATATTCTGATAGAGCAAAAGAAATAAAAACTGATAAAAGCAAAGAAAGAATACACATCAACTTGTTCCATCGCAATTCCCTAACGCCCAAAGGTCGACTACTATCTACTAGAGAATCAATTTCACTAATTACAAAAAAATTAGCATGAGGGACCTTGAAGTTAAACTAAAACTGAAGCAGAAAAGCAGATGCCCGAGCATGATGGATGATGGCAAAGCGAGTATGATGTCGTACATATCTAGTTAAGAACCAACTCAACCAAGATATAATTATCAGCAACTTAAAGCTCTTTTTAAAGGCAAAGACGACCTAATCGCTGATTTGATCATCCTAATTCAGTGTCGATTATATCGATCAATTAGGTTACTTTCCAGGAAGGAAAGCAACTGAATATACTAAGTATGTCAAGAATTCTCGATTACATAAAAAAAGCTTTTGGATCTAATTCAAGATACTAAACATTACATTTATTAATTTAGAAAAAAGCATCAGATAACCACGGGAACGACACAACTCAGCGAGAAGTATAAAAGTACTCAATTCATAGAGCAAACGACTCTAAATTTTCACCCTAATTGACATTGACAAGGGAACAAGCTCAAGGGTGAACCTTTAGTACCAAAGAACAAAACAGAGGTTGAAGCACTACAGCTCGTTGCGACATCAAGCCAGAAGGAGTTCGACACAATTTTGGATTCCTCGAATTCAAAGCATAGAACCCTACCAAACATACACGAAGCATTACAGATCAAATTAGCCAAATATAGGATATTGGAATGACGTTCCTTCTCAGGACATCAACCAAGTCCATAATCAAACGATCCCGTCCTTATCAACAGCGATACAAATCAAGAAATTCATTTCCCGAAAAGCGTACACCACAATTGCCTTCGTCTTTTCAACAATTTCAGAGTAAATAAGCATACACAAGCATGAACAAAAACCTCTCCTCGAACTGCAGTAAAAACTTCAACTGGCCAAAAATCTTTCACAAGTTCAAAAGCAAACGGCAAACAGAAACCTTATAGAGATGAGCAAACTGAATAAGAAAAATAAATACAACGAAAGAAAACCACCAATTCACTATAACCAACATTAATTCAACACCGATAACAAGAACTAGAAATGAAAGAAATACTATTGCAGGCCAAGCAAGAGGAAAGAGTACCATATTCCCATCATTGCATACCCGCCAAGGAATCATTGCTAAGGCTAAGGTACGGACACGTGGAATTTGCATGAAAACTTCATGAGCTCCGTTAAGGGGAAAGCTCCACCCAGAACCTGAATTGAACCGACAGAACTTCTTCTTTCTTGAAATCTTCTTGGCCCAGAAAACTCTTTCAAGAAACCAAAATCCTCCTGGAAAACTCAGAGAGGTCGAGGTCCTCTCTCAATCCCATCCATTAAGCCATAGATGTCCAAGAAGAACATTGCACGAGAGAGAGAGACAAAGAGAGGGAAGCTTGGGTTGAGTCTTGGATTCTGGGGGGTAGAGAGAGAGAGAGAGAGAGAGAGAGAGGGACGAGTGCTTTCACGTCCAAATGGGAGATATAATGACCAAAAAAGACAGAATATACCAAACAGTATCGGAGGAACATACTACTGTACTTCAGCCTTACAACTGACACCTGCTGGAACAGGAAACTACTATGCTGCCCCTCTCTTGCATGATTTTTCCTTTTTTGCAAGATTCCTCTCTCATCAAATTGGAAGTCAATGGTGCTGCACTATGTGGGGGAGAGGCTATACTGTACTCTAAGAACATCATGCCCTTGCATTAACGCTTTGAATGATTAATATTAGCTCTCAATGATCCATCATCAACGGTTAAGATTGAATATCCACGATATGACGACTATAAATCCAAGGAATGGGAAGATGTTTGTCATTAACACAAATGATAGGTGATAAGGTAGAACCAACATTCGTGGTCGAGATTAATTTTTAGGGATAAGTGTAATGAAAGTGCTAAAATTTGTAATGAAAGTATAATTAAATTTTAAAATTTTCAAAAAATGCAATCGAGTTTAAAAACTTATCATGAAAGTGCAATCGAATCCTAAAACTCTCGAAAAGTGCAATCAAAAGTCCTAAAACTCTCGAAAAGTGCAATCAAAAGTCCTAAAACTTGTCACGAATAAGCAATCAAGTCATACAACTTTCAAAGTGTGCAATCAAAGGAAGGACTTAATTGTGTATTCGTGACAAGTTTTAAGACTTGATTGCACTATTTGAAAGTTTTAGGACTCGATTGCATTTTAGTTACAAGTTTTAGGATTTCTAGTGCACTTATCTCTAATTATTAATTGTTGTTCTCTACTCTACTCGATCTTAGGTTAATAGTTTTTTCCATTAATTTGGCCGAAAAATTCCTCTTTCTATAAACTAGCAAAAAGATCACACGCTTATCCATGTTAAGAAAAAAACAAATAAATGTGAAGCCAAGAGAGAAAAATACGCGATGCGAATGAGTTTTAAGGAAAGAACTTCTATTGATTGAATTTTGAAAAGTACAGTATATAAGAAATTAGTTGATAAGTATCTTGACTGTTCAAATCACAATTTAGCCTATTTCGTCGTACTGCATTAGTGTAGTACATCTTAACATAAGGTAGGCAATTTATATAACTTTTGACTAATAATATTATGAGGTCAAATCTCTCGTTGACACAATTTAGTCTATTTGGTCGTAACGCATTAGTGTAGTACATCTTAACATTACGTGGGCAATTTATAAAACTTTTCGAATAATAATATTATGAGGCCAAATATCTCTTTGAGTTTGCTTTCCATACAGTAGAGATGAAGACAATAACCTGTTTTTATCATTGAGTTTATCGATTTATAGCCTTCAAAATATAATTAAAGAGTCAGAAGTCGAGGAGAAATCACCAAGAAAGAGATCCAACCTTTGCGGGTTCTTTTTATTGATTAATCTAATACGAATTCGTATGAAAGTATGATGTTTTTGTTTAATAAGACTGTCGGTCTTATGCGGTTGCCAACAACTGACTATTATATGAGCTCGCAGGTCCAATCATAACCTGCAAAACATGACAACCCAAAGTGGACCAACAGAAGAGTGCACTAATGAAGAACGTTGTATCCAAACTTGACTTGTTTTCGAATGACTAATCTTCCCCCCCTTTTTCCTGAGATGCAACTTCGTTTTGGGTCTCACATGGTCTGCTTGCTGGGCATTATTCAGTCTGTGCATGTCTGTCCCACCTTTTTTATATGTAATTAAACCAGACTTTTGCACTGATAAAGGAATTTTGGGTAGGACCAAGAATATACTCGGGAATAATCTTACCAAAAAGTCCTGTCCAAGATTCCTCGGCTAGATAAACCCTCGTAAAAGCGATACTGAATCCTGCACTTGTTGGCCAAAAGAAAGGGACTGTCAAATTGCCCATAAGTTAAAAAAAAGGTTGTGTCCCAGTAAAACTGAGGCATGTGCACACGCGTTTCTTGATGGGCATGTACTAAATTAGCTTATGAATTACTTCCCAAACTCTACTTGTTGGAAAAGGAAAGAAAAATGTCATCATTCGCACTATCTGCTTTTGTCGTTCTTCTTTGATTGACTCCATTTTCAGACAGACCTGTGCCTTTACCCCATGTTTTGTGCCTTGAAAAGTCTACAATTTGATCCTCCATCGAAAGTCGGGATTGTCATCCAACGCACAACATCAGTATTTACCAAATGCGGCAAGTGCTTCGTGATGTGGAGGTGAACGTCACGCTTATAATATGGTGAAGAAACTTCAATTGAATTGAGGGATGAAAAGCTGCAACTTCAAGCATCATACACAGTACGTCTCTTGTAATGTACTGCATTCCTTTGCATACATGCCATTATTGAAGGGCACAACTAGTGCATTGATTATTTGGCAACAACCCAACTTTAGTTGTTATTTGTGTAATACAAAGAATGCTAATAAATGAGCTAATTCAAATAGCAACTGGACTGAATCTAGGTGGAAAGCTGAGAGATGAGAATGACTGAATCCTAACTAAATATCCTTTTGGAGGGCTTTAGCTTTTCCACCCGTGGGATCTAAAAGATCGTGCATAGATTTAATTGAAATTCACCTTTCCCTTTGTTGGCCTTTTCAGGTGGCCTACAAAGTGCTGGTTCTTGCTCTTGGCTGCGTATCTTGCCCTAAAGTTGCTTCATATTCAAACTCCATTCCAAGGTCCCTATGCAAATTACAAGGGACCATGATCTTGAACAAATTTAATCTCATATGCTATGTGAGAACAAGATCGTTATGGTTACGGGTCAAGTTCATGCTAGTATATACTTCACAAAGTGTGCAAGTTGTGGTTTCGATTATGTTATATAGTAAGATCAGCTCTTTGACATGATAATCCTAATGGCTCTGATGCACGTTATCTACCTATACTTTTCTTGAATTCTGTTTTCTATTTTCCATAGAATAATCGAATTGGAAGACTCGAACTCAGTACCTTCACAAGAGCCCGGCAATTAATGTGCATGCTAATGTCATTGAATATCCACTGTTTAGAATTCATTTGGATGTTTGATGATGGACAAAAGCAACACAGGTCTTGTCTGTAGCATAATATGGGGAGAAGTATGTCCGGAAGGTATATTCTCCAAATGCTGATGGGATTCGCATAGATCGAAGGGAATCGATGCATGTTGTGTCCCCTTCACATCATCAATCACGCATCTCAAAAGAGTCGCGTGCAAACTTTTCGGAAGTCAGTTCTTTCGTGTCCAAAAAATTAATACAGCATTCCTGGAATAACCTAAGTCCTAGGTAAAAAAGGTATGGTCGTGGAGCTTACTGTGCTGTATATTTTGGAGCGTTTCACTCTGCTTCCTTCTTACTTAATCTCTTGCATAGATTTAGACCCGTTCCTTAAAATTTACAAGGGTTCTAACGTAGGAGATCATATCTTCCAATCTTAATATAACAGGCAGAACAAACTACGAGGAGCGCAAACCCTTGAATCGAGCCCTGACTCGGCTGAAATTTGATGTCATCTAAGTTAACCAGACATAATAATTTCCTAAATTAGCTTAAATTAGGTGGCTCCTAGGTGGATGTCCATTGCTTTTTCAGCTAATAAAAAGCTTGTAATGCTCGTCCTTTTAGACTTCAGAAATGAGTAGTGGAACACTATCTCCCTCTCCTGTTAGCGACAGCTTACGAATACGGTTGACTTCGAGTTGAACGGGGTCTCTCATGTTCTGATTAAGACTCTCTACCAATTGAAACCCTAGAAGAAGATGATTTATGCACGGGTTGTCGTAGTATAATCGGACGGTGTGTCGACTCGAATCCAAATTGCCTTTGCTCTGTAGCAAGCACAATTCTCCCCATATTCTCTTAGACCTTGTACGTGAATGTGACAACTACAAAGACCGTTTTCTAAATTACATGAGTGCACACTTTTTTGGTTACGTCGTTATCTGTATCGAACATCCACTTAGAGTTCATTTTATAATTAAAATCATTGCGGTTTAAAGTTAACCCCCGACATGATCTCTCTCCGTGCGCGCACACAGGGTTTGCGTTGGAGCTTAGTCCGATCCAGCTGAGTTGACAAAGCTTTACTATATAGTCAAGGTCGAGCACAAAGGTTAGGACTTGTCTGCATCAACCAGTGTGTATGGATGGCTGGTCAGATCTCTCATTTGTTCATTTGTCCTTGGAAAAATTAGCTCATATACAAAGAGAAAAGGAGTTTGACAAACTCAATTACGGACACTAATTCGCATGGACCGCATAATCCTCTTTTTCTACACATCCGACATCTTACACCATCGGTTCGGGTAGTTTTATAGAGATGTGAGATGTGTACAAAAAAGGGTGTACGGGTTATGTATACAATATTGATCCGTCTCAAACTATGTCTGAATCCGTGACCATCTAGGTGCTTGCTCATTGACACTACTCGACAATAAAATCTCCTAGGGCCAATAATTTTGGGGCCAACAATTTCTATCGCACTAAATTGTATGATATTTAATAATGGCTTATATTTCCATTAAAAAATTGGAAATTAATTTGAATGGTGTCTATTTTTAATTTACTAATCAAACAGTGTGGTTGGACAAGTTTCCTCCGATTAGACATGGAGGAAAAATATGAATCATCTGAAATTTTAAAAATTAATTAAATTGAGTGAGTGAGTGATTTATTGTAATGGCTAGGACAAGACTAGCATCAGAAGAACATCGAAGCATATGCTAAATCATCAACTCCATAATGGGGAACTAATGATTAATACACTCCAAAATGTTGAGGGGATTCAAGCAATAGAAAATTTTGGATTGCGTAGGCCACAATATTGAATTTGGAATGGTTGGAGATATGTATGATTTGAGAGGTGTGGCTCACACCATATGATATTTATTTTTATTTTGATTCCAACAAAAAAATATCATATGATACTTCGAGTAATTATAGCATACTTTGGAGGTGTAATTTTATTTTTTTTTCAAACAAAAGCGACTTTATACGCCCTTGGTTTGAGAGGGAGAGGATAGTTTTAATCTTCA